GAGAGAGAGAGAGATAAGGGAGGGGCGAGGGGAAGAAGGAAGTTGTACACTGTTTAAAGTTAAAGGCAATATATTCAATTACTCTCAAGCAAAACTAATTATTTAAAAACAATGCGTAGTCAGTAATTACGTACGTAGACTAAGTTTGTAGTAAAAGGTTGTTTTAATTTTGTATAAAGTGAAGAATGTAAAAGATGACATTTAATCTTTGATTTTAAAGGTGTGGGAATATTATTTAAGAACGTCTATATAATTGGCTCGGTATCTCGATGAGAATTCTGAGAAGAAATTTAATGTTGATCAATATTGTCTCAGGTTATTCTATATTTTTTTAGGCTATTATATTTTTCGTTTAATACTCTGAGACAGTTACTTTAATAGCATTGATAACAAGAAAAACATTAAATTTTTGATAAAATTTTTTGATAAAATAACATGTAATATTGTTTGTTCTTTTACCTTTAAAAGAAAATAAGTTATTTAAAATCTTACTAATTATTTTGGACGATAATTGAAATAAGAAATATATCATATTTGCATTATGCCCACATGAATTGTAATAACATTTTATGATTATCTGAACATTTGTTTGTTTTCAGGGTATTGAGTTTGAATACGTTGTAAAATTAAACCTCGATAATCCGTAAAGTTAATTAACGCTAAACGAGATTTCGCGATATCGGATGGAATTAAAACCATTGAAATTAATTGCAATTGATCGGAATTGACTGGAATTAAAGCAAACCGATTGGAATTGAGGGAGATAACGACAAGCTCAATAAAATCCAACCACTTGTTGGCGCAACAAGTATATTTATTCAAGAATGGCAAATACGCCGATACAATTACACACGTGTTTGTCAACATTCGCTAAATACTTCCACGGTATTGCAACCGCAGTAAGTACATATTTGATTTACTGAAAAAAAATTGCGAACTATAGAAGAACAAACAGCTCTATAAAGACTAAATCTCAATTCCTAACAATAAAAAAATTTTTCACTGTTTTATTTATTTTAATTTAATAAAATTATTTGATGAATAATTACATCACTTTTTAAATAAAGGTTATCAAGTTGATTATTTTTTTTTCTTTTAAATTTAAATACAAGATATTAAGAGAAAAAAATCAATTTATCCAATATTATATATATGTGGAAATATAAATTAAATACGAATTTAATCAAGACAATGATTTATGCATAAAATGTCACTTTTGTATTTGATTATAATACAGATATGATGTTTCTACTAAATTATAAAATTATTGTCCAAAATAATATATTAAATAAAATAATTAAATTAAAATAATATATCAAAAAATAATAAAGTTATAATCAATTTTCTATTGTGCTACACGTAATATACGTTAACTTTTTATTAATCTATTAATAAAAAATATGTAAAAATTTTATTTTACTATTATACTATTTGAACACAATTGATGCAATATATTTCATATTTACTCCTTTATTTGCAATAATTAATTTCCTAACATAGGAAATAAAATAATTTATATCTGATCTTTATAAAATTTTAATTGATGTAATGCAAGATAATGATATCATAATTAATATTTTATTTATTTAATGATTTGAAATGCCAATAGAATTTTTGTTTTAATATTAAATCGAAGATTTATATATACAGTACATAAAATTCTCATCAAGTCTTCTTATGCAATTATAACATTAAATTTTGCATGAAATTTCTAGTATAAGATTATAGTAAACACATTAAATAACAATTAAAGATTTCTATTCTGCTTTACAATCATTCTATTCTTCGATTAACTATTCCATTTGTTTTTGTGTTCTATGTGGCGATTATAACATTAAACAAATGGACACATGTAATAAAATAATATTTAGCCACTATTTATGATAGAAAATTATTTATTTTTTGAATGCATACATTTTATTTGACATTCATAAAAAAACGGATTTCTTAATAAAACAATTTTATTTTTCAAATGCGACTACTACTTTCTTCATTTACAATTTGAATAAATTAACGGCTTAGCATTGATTATTATGTGAAAGCATACTTTTTCGATCTAAATTTAGATCTTTTTCTTTGGCGCGTCGTAAATGAAGAAAACCGCAACGATCATAAAATTCTAGCCATGCGATCGACATGGTATTGTCACGAATTTCGGAGCAGGTTCTGGCGCGTGAAGTGCAACCCGCATTTCACCGCGTATACAGAGGAAGTATGTCATTTAAAATTTTGTAACATGTATGTATTCCAAGTGCATCCACATGCCACATGGGTGCATGTTTATCGGAACGGAAGTTACGCCCGCCCGCGTTTCGACAAGAAGCCGATAATAATGTGTTTGACATACGCCCGGTGCACCGAAAAGGTACCCTTTATGTTTGTCATTCATCCCGATGCGTCACGATGGCATATGAGGAATATTGAGCAGTTTGCAGTAGAAATTGTAAGACTTACTCCAGATTACAAATTAAATAAACATGCAATTTTTCTGCATCGCCGCGCCTGGTCGAGCGATATTAAGATAGTCTTTTACCCATGATTTTAAATGACTTGGATTTAATACCAGGGTAGATCTCCTTTCCATTCTTATCCACCACATCGGCGAATTTCGTCTCCGTGAACTCTTCGAATCCTGCGCCCGCTGCTGATTTTTGCGAAATTATCGATGTAAACGCCGTGGCTGTCGCTGGGATACCATACATGGGGCCGATTTGTTCTCTACATCAAGATTTAAATCATTGATAAATAATTGATTAATGTGATAATTTTAACGGAATTAATAATAATATAATAAAAATAAATTGTCAAATATAAGAAAATAGAGATAATTTTTATTATTATGCAGTAACAAAATTTGTCAATATAACAAATATTGACAAAGTTGACACATTAAATTTATAAAAATGTGAAATATAATTTTTTAACAAAATTAAATATATAATTATAATGAAAAATTAAGAAAAGTTAGGAGTAGCAGATAATTCTGTCATCATCATGTGAGAAAATAGGAAAAGCTTTGAAAAAATTTCATATCTCTTAAAATTTTTAATTACATCGCGAAATATACTGAAAGTGCTTCAATCTTCTAACATAAATTGTACCTTATTTTCAAGATATCTCTGCCTAATCCATATCCTCGATAATCAGAGTCTACACTAAGCCCAATGGCATACAGATACTTGTCAACTCCGTAACGATCGTACACCACCTTCGTTGCATCAGCTATGATTTCAAACGTGGTTCTGCATTTGTCTGATTTAAACTGTAAATTATTAATCCCAACTTAGTTACGTAATTATACGTTGCGATAATAACCCAGACTTACTACGACATCCATTAATGACAGCTACCTGAGATCATTTTGAAATGAAAATCCTAATAATAAGGTATCAAGACTATAATAATTTTCAAATGAGAAGAGTTTAAAATTAATTAATTAAACTGCTCGAAATTTGCTCGAAAATTGCTCGTTCTTGATACATTACATAATACATACATTATATAATAATAAAAGTGTTTTCAAATGTTAATTCTATTCTCGAAAATTTAATTTAATTTTCGCCATTTAGTTTATGATATGTTACATGTAACAATTGTGACAATTCGATGCATTCGTATTGCATTTCCTTACAATTTTTTATTATTATTTTTATTAAAAATATTTTCATAATTAATTAATCATGAAAGAATAAAAATAAAAAGCAATTGTAACAACGACATACGCAGAATTATATCAATTTCGGGAATAGACTTTATAGTTTGAAAACATCTTTACTATTATTATGCAATGTGTCATGCCTAGAGAGAGCGCGAATTTTAGACAGTTTAATTAGTTAACTATAAATCCTTCTCATTTCAAAATTATCCTCGATATTTTGATATTAAGATTTTTATCTCGAAATGATCTGAAACAACAAAATCTGTTATTGACGATCTGAAACATCCTGTATAGTATTTGATGCTACGTAGAGAAGAAGCATGAAGTCCCCTCGACACTTTAACTATTAACGACGATAGAAGACGAAGGACGTCAATAAGAGGATCAAAACACTTGACGATCATTATACAATGACACAACGTTTATATACTGATATCTGCAGTCAGTATTTTACTGATATGACGCATTCACTATCATAAAGCTTATATAATATAATTACGTAATTATATTATATTATGTATGTGTAAAAAAGACAGCTATATAGCAGCATGAGGTGTTAACTAAAACAACAAATATATACAAGAGAAAAAACTCACTTGGTAACTCGAAATACTGTCTTTCTTGTCTTTATGATCAACGCCCAGAGCATTCATACCAGCAATTATAGGTTTTCCACCGTTGGGATTGTCGATGAATGCGGCTATGGATATGCCTTCTTCCAACAATAGGCGCCATATCGTGCTTATGTCTCGTACGAAGACAGGATCATTTTTCGCATCTGCAAATAAAATATGTCAAAAGGTAACAAAAAAACACTCGTAATTCGCGGAATTACGAAAGACAATTATTTTTCTTCGATCTTGAATGAATTTCTGTAATTTTTTAAATAATGATCTGCGAAATCTTTCTTTCTTTTTTTTTTTCATAATCGTTTTTATCTTAAATTCACTGACGCTGTTAAAAATAATTTGAATAATACTTTTAAAAGTTCGTTATCGAACAATCGGAAGCTCACCCAAACACTGACAAGTCGGTTCATCGGCCAAGAAGAATTCGCACATGTGTTGAACCGCATCCTCGTACCGATCCTCAGGAATCTCTTGAATCGTAAACTTCATCTTCTTTCCATCCTTAGCTGTTTTTTCAATCAATTTCCAAACCGTGGGTGGCTGGCCGATTGGTCTGATGTGTGGCATTTTCTTGATTTCCTTTTGCAGATCTATCCCGGTCAGCTTCTGCGTGTACATACGTGTCGAATGACACGCTGTCCAGACGTTACGGAAGCGCAAGGTCTTTAACATTTATACGTCGACCTCTGCCCGTTATTCAACCAATGACTATCGTCGATCGAATGGGTTTGGCTTTATTATCAAGTTGCTTTTAAATAAGTTGCGCGTTCGTTTAGCGTTCAAACGCAAATGACACTTGAAAACATGTAGTACCAATAAGATATATGTTAGCGCTATCTCGTTTGTATATGTTTTTTTTTTTTCTCTTGCATCCGTCTTATCTGGAAAATATAGCACATCCTCAGTAGATAGCTCTCGTGCGACAGCTACAGCTTTAAAGAAATATCGTTGTTTGAACGGAAGGAAGAAAATATAAGATAAAGCTGTAAATTATATGAAACAGAAATTAATACGCAAGCGTAATTTTATTTGCCTTTCAGAACACTCTTAATTTAAATCTCGTTTTAAATATTAAAACACATTGTTTGTATTTATTTGATAGATTTAAGCCTTGTCTAGCGGAGGTCAGTTATATTAACAAATTACTCAACGTTATATTGCTAAAGCTCTACTTTATATTTAAATCAATACATTACCGTTGTCGTCAGTCTCATCGAGCTCTTCTATTGACTTTGATTTGCAATTTTTAGTTTCTAGCAACGAAAAAACATTTATTACAAGAGATACAATAAGCCTTCTTATTTATATTTCGTATAAATATTATTTTTATTAAATAACAGAATTTACAATAATACAAAAATTTAATGAAAAATCTTATTTTGGCAGATAAGAAACGAAATTCAGATTTGGATTGCTATTCAGGCATCAAAACGTCATTTCAAGAGTTAATAAGCTCTCTATTCGTACAAAAATCTAGAGTACACGGAACTTCAAAACACTCACACACACACACACACTCATTCACACAAGTTATGTAACACATTTTCGAATAACAAGCAATATATTAACAAGCAATATATTTTGTAATAAAATAACTTGTAACTTAACTACTTACACTTTACGATATTTTTGTAAACGCTGATAACAGAACTGAAATACGAGATTGCAGACATAACTAATCACATATTTGTACATTGACAAATAAGTCAGTAAAGGACCGATCTGGAGCAACAGCGGCAAACACATTATTTTGTTATTTATCGTAAGAACAGAATGCCACTTGTTTCCTCACAGTTGGCTCTTTTTAATTATGACGCTATAAACGCTTCCGCAATTTAATAAAGACGGTCTGCATATCAATGATAATGCGCGAAAATTTGATAATAAGACCGGATGAGACAAGCACAATGTCGAGTTTTTTAATCGATATTTAATTGTTTATCATACGAATTTGTAAGTGCGTTTATAATCGTGCGAATTTCGAACTTTAATAATAATAATAATAATCTAGTCTCGAGATTGTGATTAGTATATGCTATCATAAAATATAATAAAGATATATTTTTTTATGCGGTAAAACATGCAGTAAAAACATATTTGCATTTACAATATATTGTAAGATATTATTATTAATAATCCACATACATTTCCCATGCACATAACTCTCATGCAATTAGCTCATATTAATCGCATAAAAAATACTCAAGAAAACTTATCTACCCGTTATTACAGTGCACTGCATTCTTTTTCCGCAGATTGACATTATCGAATGTCTATATGACATGTTTGATTCATATATAACTGCTAATTTTGTCATAAAATAAAGTACGTAATGCTGAATAAGTATGTTATTAAAATGTACGTGGTAATTCCGAAAATTAGAGCAAAGTGTTTTTAAAGTTTCCGCAAAAGACAGAGAAAATGAGGAAACATTTTAATGAATTCTATTTTTTATAAGTAAAATTGTTTTGACAAGTATATCAATAATATCTATATCAATAATATCAGTATATCAATAATATTTGCATTTTGTTTGTAATAAGTATTGGAACTATAAGATTTTTTTATGCAAATTGAATTCTTATATTTATTTTACTTATAAAAATATTCGAATAAATACGTAAAAAAAATTGCATATTCTAGAAAAGGAAAGTGAGCATAAGTTAAATTTTATATCTTAATAATTTAAACTTATATCAGTATGTTAATTACATTATATTCATACATTATGTACATTTATAATCTGTTAGATGTCCAAACATATTTTATTTGTATTCCGTAATATCAGATATTACATTCAGTGAGCCAAAAAATGAATAATTTTTTGCATTGCTTTTGTTATTATATAATTTTTATGTATATTATAAAATTAATGTAAATTAGTAAAAAAAACATGCAAAAACATACATAATTTACATATGAAAAAAACAAAATCAGACTGTCTCATTTACTTGAAGCTATATTTTACCCAATTTATATGTCAAAAAATATTTTTACTTTTGTATCCACAAATACTATTAATGAATAAGTTGTTTAAAAAACTTTTACAAATATTTTTTCATGTTATCTATAATTTTTCAAAAAATCTTCGATAATTTCTTCATTTTCTTTACAGTTATTTCTTGCTTCGAACATGATTAATAATTAAGCAAGTTTGAAAGAAGTTTTTTCTTATACTTGTTAAATAAAATGTCAAAGACCAATTAATAAATAACATATTTTTATAACATGTAACATGTCTTGATGCAATTTTATATACAATTGCAATTTTATATACAACGCTATATATACAATTTCTTCTATATATACATAGATAAAACAATTTGATTATGTCATTCTTTCATATGTTAGTAAATTTTTGCGTATCTTTTGCCGATTTATAAATGTCAGTTAGGTTAATCGATAAGTACATGGAAATATGCAGATAATGCAATCCAAATTTTAAACAACTTCGTATCGAAATTCTTGGAATACGTATTTTGTCTCGGTAAATTCTGAGAACAGATTTAAAAATAGCTCTGTATGTTTGTTTCAAATTTTAATCGTCAAATTATCGTCTTTATTGGTCGCTATTAATGTGTAATTAAGCAATATTATCTATCAAATGATCAAATGATAATGAAAATATAATGAACATATAATGTGGAATATAATGAGTTTATTTTTGATAAAGATGTTTAAATTAAGTATATAAATCTGTAAGCTGTTATTTTGTCATTTGAAGGATCACGAGATTTTATCGTTAATCTACTTTATTAACTAAAGCATTTGTACATTTAAATCACAGAATTTTTGCGTGGATTCTTTCGTTTGTATACACAAATGATTAAAGGAAATAATTCGCGTATTGTAATTTTTTTGGAATTATATATATATAAAGGAACAAAAAGAAATCGTTTTATACACCGGAATAATTTTTATTATTTACATGTGTTACATGTATATGTGTGTACTATTTGTAAATGTAGTAATATATGACACACTTATCATATATGTATACATTTGTGACACATAGAAAAAAAAATATTAATAATGACGTAATCTATACAGTTGTAAAATCTGTGTTAAAGTCATAATCATTGGAGCTTAATTTAAATTCTTCAAGTTGTCCTGCTAGCTTATTAGCAGCTTTTTCTGAAAATTAACATTTTAAAATAAATATTACACCAATTTACACTAAATGTTACACCAAATATCAAAGTATCTTTTTATTTTTATCATACCTCTTCTCGCTTTTTCTTTTTTTCTTTCTTGTATTGAAGTTTCCTAAGTTTGTTCAATTTCTGATTGCCTTCAATCTCGAAAAGTGGATCTGTTTTCTTCTTTCTTTCTTCAGGCACTTCTTTCTTTGTGCGTTGTAATTTCTTCTTTAATTTCTTTTGCACTTTGTATTCCTACACGAGAATATATTAATCAAATATTGCATTAAATATATACGCACGAGATTTCATTAAATAAAAGTTTCTAATTGCATCTCACCGTTTCTTTTTGCATTTCGATTTTCATTGCCATCGTCACAGGGCCCGTACTATCAATTAATGTGGAATCTACATCGTTATTTGTCGAATCTATCGTGAAATTATCAAGCATCATTTTTTCTTCTGCAGCGAAACTTTCGATATCAAATTCTTTAGCCATTTCATTGACGATCTCAGCGGATATATGACATACCGGTTGTTCAGGCGGTACTGTATAATATCTGAATAAATATTTTTAAGTATTAAAAAATAAAATTCATCATTGCAAAAATATTCGAATTAGCGACAAAACCTGATTTTTCCAGAGTTCCAATCCTCAATAATACTACGTGCGGCGGCAGTCACATCAGGCACCCCACCTCTTTTATATTTTCCCATTCGCGCTGCTTTCATTGCAAAAAATTCATCTGGCGTTGAAAAATCTTGCATATTGTACAACTCCATTATCTGTTGTCGCGAAATTCTTTTCAGAATCGCACTTGCTGGCGCAAAAGGATCTTTCAATGCTTGAATTTTTATTGCATTTTTGAGAGCTATGGATGTGTCATCAGAATTTTCATCCGAGGTAGCAAACACTATACCAGGAGAATCTAATAATTTTATTTTAGAATCTAATTGAACAGTTTGCATCGTTTTTGTTATTCCTGAAATTAGAAACATCAAATCATAAATTAAATTAATAATAAATAGACACAATATAATATACATATATCTATTAACGAATATATACATATTAACCAATGATATAGTTACTACGAAAATATTTTATGTAACTTATAAATAAGCTATAAACTTATAATAAACTTATAACTTATAAATAAAAAATTTTTTAAATCAGTATAGATTAACAAACTAATTCGAAAATACAATCACTAAAAAGGATTATATTGGTTTAGAAAACAAAGCAGATATAAAAATTGATAAATAATTAAATACCTGGTAAATTTCCCACGTTACACGCTTTGCTGCGTTTTAAAGAATTAATAACGCTAGATTTGCCTACGTTTGGTAAACCAACAACACCTACTCTGATACTTGTTTTCATATTATTAGCGTTTCTGCAATAATTGCCAAGCAATGATAGAAGTAATTCTGCCCCAAAGCAGGTATTGCTTTGTATCATGGATTCCGTTTTCTTTCCTAGTTTTTTTCTACCTAATCGATTTGCTTGATTTTGCGTGGATGACTTAAATGCCACCGCAGGTAAACTGGTCCTCAAATATTTCAACCATTGATCTAAATTTTCTCTAGGGATTAAATCAGCCTTATTTAAAACCAACACCAGTCTTTTGTTTCCCTTTGCTGATCGCACTGTTTCTTCTACCTACATCCAAGTAATAGTAAGTTAATATACATTTCTACTTCCAACAACAAAACAAGCTCAATGAAATTTACCTCTTTACATCGTGTTCCTAATGGATCACGAGCATCCACAATCTCAAGAATAACATCAGCTGAATCTAAGACCTTTTTGAATTCTTTATAATAAGCTTTAAGTGAGTGCTCTTGCTTAACAACGGCACTTTTCATTTGATCTTGTACAGAATCTATTTCCATGGATTTATATGCTAATTGTTTTTTCTCAGCTTGATTGACCAATCCTTGGAGACCATCTTTGGCAAATTGCTCACGTTTTCTTTCACGTGCTGCCTCCTTCTGCTTCCGTTTTTCCTCTTCCTGTTGTTTCCTCATCGCCTCTACTTCCTTCAATATATCTTCTTTAAAAGGACACTGATTTGGTACTTCCATTACCTTGGATTTTTCTAAACAAAAGTGAAATTACAATTGTTAACTGTTATAAATACAAATGTATATATTTAATAGGTAAATGTTAAGTTTAGGGGCCTTATCTCCTTTTGATAAAATTAGGTTTATTCAACGCATCTTTACATATATACATGCATATATTACTATATCAATACACTTAGTTAATATGACAGATTTCCTAATCCTAAATAGTGCAAACTTTAACGATTAATATCTCGATTCGCGAGACAGAGCGACACTTTTTTCTACCAACTTCTTTCATTTCATGCAAAAATGAATAAGCCTAATTTTATCGAAATTGGAGATTAATGCCGTTAAATTTAACATTTATCATTTAATAAATTAGAACACTCACTTTTGGGATGCTTTTTAGCTTCTTTCTTCATTTTTCGATTATGTTCGCGAACTTTTTTCTCAATCTTGTACCTCTTCCGCGCCTGCACGCGCTTGCTTTCCTTTTCTATTTGTTAAAATAAAAATGTATTTTTAAGATAACTGCATTAATGCAACAAACAGAGATAAAATATATATAATATATAATATATATAATATTATAATTATAATATTCATGATTTTTTATTAATTGTGTAAAAAAACAGTTTTGATTAAAATAAAAATTATTGCACATAACCTATACATAATCTAATACATAACATGAATTGTTTGAATCTTTTATAAGATATACAAAATCCGAATTTTGGTGATATACTGGATATACTTACTACGAATTTTCATATTTTCTATTAATTATACTACCACTAAACAATCGCAAAGTTTTTACAATAATGATTACGTTCGAAACAATCACGCGTGCTCAATCGAACCGAATGAAGTGGAAACTCCCACCATTCGATCCGTGATGCCACTATAACATATGACATATGTAATATATTTGAGATATACTATTGGTTCGAAACGTTCCTTGATTGGTCAATTTATAGAATTCTTTATTCTGATTGGTTAATCAAACGTTTTGAAGCAAACACTCAAAGCGAAGTTTGTTCGAAAAGTGAATGAGTTGAGTTGGTCGAACAACCGAACTCACCGTCTCATATATATATATATATATATATATAATATATATTTCAAAATATATAAGATAAAATAAATAAGTAGATCATTAATAAAATAAAATTAAAATATAATTATTTAATATAATATATATAAATATTATATATATATATATATATATATTGATTTATCTAGCAACGTCTAAGCTTCTCTTTCGTGTTTTTCATCTTGTTACCATGTTTTCACATAATTAATTTTCATTTTACCATAAAATGTAAAAAATGATCCCAAATAATAAGACATTTAAAAAACATCATAAATTGGATCTGAAAGATTTTTTTATAACATTACAATATTACATTTCAATAAGTTTTAGGACATCTTTAAGATATCAATGTTTTCTAAGAACATTATTGTTGTTATTAAAAAGTAAATTTAAGTATTATTTGACAAGTTGATTATTGTTTGGCCAGATTTCGATTGAAGTTCACCGCCCGGGATGGGTAGTGAAAGGTATTCGCATACGATAAAATGTGCATTCTCACACTTTCATCGTGTTTTCCAAGAGGCGCTCTTTTGATGCGATAGAGACAAGGCCGTTTCTAGCGAGGCTAGATACGCGGAGCGGAATAGAAATTCCCATAAATTAATTTCACGCGCGTCGTGAAACGTCCCTTGTGATCGCACGAGAGTGATACAATTTCTCTCTTATCCCAATTCCCACGCCGTGTCATTCACAGGCATGCGATGATTGGCATAGTCCGTTAGTCCATACGTACTTCCCGCGATATCTAGGCAGTCAATTTAAAGGAACGCCGACCCGGCCGTTTGCCCCGTGAAACGAAATGAAATATAATTTATGAGTAAAAGCACGACGAGTTTAAAACTGAATGGTATAATCTAATGATCTTTCTGAATAAATTTCCGCTTTTCCTCCGTTCCACACTTTTTATTAATGTATACTTTAGCGCGGCACGAACGTAAGGCGCGAAACACTTTCACGCGTCCTCCTTGAAGGAGGACTTCGACACTGACAAGATTTTTAAATTTTCAATAATTACGGAAGTTTACATGACTATTAAAATTAAAATCATTAATTTATACTATAATAAATATATTAATTTTATGATTAATACCCTGATATTTTTTAGACTTATATTTACCACTTGGTAATATTTAACTTTATTTAAAATTGCATTTTTATAATTACTATTTTTTTCATGTTTAATTATTCATAAAAATGATACGTGTAAAAAAATTGAAATTTTACAACAATATATAATATTATAGTTTGTATACTTATTTAGGAAGCATTTGTGTAATAAAAAATTATAATAAGGATAATAGATGATATTACTCGATACATAAGCTCGATAAATTAAACTTTTAGAGTTTTAGTTTAATAATTTTTCTTTTTGAATTCACATCTATAAATTCAGGATTCAATTGCTTATATCGCAAACTATGTGACATTATATTTAACATAGCAATTTAATATATTTAATAACAGCAATTTAATAGATTTAATATATTTAATACATAACAAAGCTATATTTTTCCTTCTTTAATAAATCGATAATCCAATTTTGGAATTGATTACTCCTTTTCTGTAGAAAAAAAAAAATTATGAGTTAAATAATTATTTAAATATTTATGTAAACAATCAAAAATTTATTTCAATAATCTGAGTCTCTTTGAGAAATAAAAAAATTTGCCGAGGATTATTGCTTTTTGATATCTTGCTTCGTGAATTACAGATTCGCGCGTATTTGAAATCAGCGCGATCCGCCAATCGACGGCATAGAGTGGGGGAGGCCGATGGAGGGGGAAACCATTCCGATTCGGGCTCGTCGCCGAGCGGTGGCGTTCGCCGCGCATCCGCCGCGACGACTCATTCTCGTAATGGCCGCCGTCTGGCGTTGTCAGTGAGTGTGCGGTTGCCCGTCGCGGGTAGTTGTGTTGCGTCGGGAAGCTGCATCGTCCGCGGGATCGTGACTCCGAGATCTCGCGCGCGTACGTGCGAATCGCGACGGTGAAGCGCGCGCGGACGCGTTTCAACGCGTCACGTAGCGTCGCGATTGCCCTCGCCACCGGCGGCGATTTAAAAACGAGCGACTGCATATTTCGTATACACATCAAGTGTTGTGTGCCACCCTTCCCGCCCTCTTCCTCTCTCCCTCCGGCTGTTTATCCGGGGCGCGCGGGGTTTATCGTGCGTCGAATGTCAGCAACCCGAAAATCTAGCGACGGCGCGCTTCCGGTCCGTCATCTACCTGGCCATCCCGTCGCGAGACGCGGCGTCGGGTGGGCTCTCTCCGTTTCTCTCTATCTCCCTCTGTCCCTGTCTTTCTCATTTCTCGCCGTCGAGAGATGGTAAACACATTGAGTGACAGCGTGCGCGAGTGAGAGAAAACGCGGCCGTTTCGACTCGTCCGGCCCAAGACGTGAGTTGGAATCTGCGAGAAGAGGAACGTCCAGTTGGGTCCCGAATTCTTCCTCACGGTGGTTCAAGGTCGTCTAAAAGCGTTCAGACATCACGAGTGCGTACGTACGTGCGTGCGTGCATGCGAGCGAGCAAGCAAGCAAGTAAGCGAACGCGTGAGGAAGCGAGGCAAGACGACGCGACGTCTTCCACGCGACGCCGCGCGAGAGAGCTGTCAGCGATCGTCGAGACTTCCCCGGTTCTTCCATCTCGAAATATCGAGAACCTGAGATTTCTTCCGACAGTATTTACTTGACAGACAACGGTCACCGAAACCCGATGCATCGTAAGTATCGTTCGATCGCCACATGTGACTTAATTATCTATATAAATTTATATATCTAAATCTCTTAAATTTCTTGCACATTTTGAGGGTTTCTTCTGACTAAAACCTAAGCTTCGGAATGTAAGACTAGGGTTACAAATAAAAGTATATGTAATTATACGTTATAATTTTTCCAGAGTTGGAAATACTCTAAAGGAAAAAGGAATAGTTTTTAAAAAGTTTCGAAAAATTTTTTAGATATTACATATCTTTTAGTGATTTAATCAATGTCTTTCATTTTCTAGTAATGTCATTCCATTCTCATAGCATTTTAAAGAAAAAAGATTTTTTTTGCAAATTATATTATTAATAATATATTAAAATCAAAACTTTTTTATTTTTTATATTTTAATATATTTGCTCTTACTTAATTAGATTAATTAAATATTAAAATTATTATTGTAATTATTCATTAAAACGGCAAATTTGAAACAATTAAATTTTTACATAAGAATATAACTAAAATATGATAAAATTTATATTAGCAAATTTATATAAGCAAATTAGGAAGATTCAAAAATTAAATAATAATCATCATTTATCGTACATAATTATAAAATCACTATTTAATTTAATTTTGAGTTTAGTTTAATTTTTTCCTATAGAGAAAAAAGAATTCGAAGAGCTTTTATCCACTGACCTCTTAAAAATTCATACAAAATATTTATGAAAATTTCTTCGGAGACTTAAAAATCCTAGTAAGCCTATTCTGTAACTTTTAACTATAGTGTCATTATCGTTGCGTTGTCATTGTGCAATTTTTCTATTATAAAACCTTATTGTTAGGTAAATTTCTTGCATCTTTCCTGTTTTTCTCCTCAACTCCAGCTAAGAAAAAGCTATTCAGAAGCCTAATAACAAAATTGTTGTTAAAAGTTACAAAATAGAGTTGCATTTGATGCTACAAGTATTTTGAAGCATTTCTCGATCGGAATAGGATTCTGTATTTTGATTGATCACTCAAATACTTCAAGGCATTCGTGATACAAAATAGACTGCAGTCTAGGCCTATTGAATTTTTTTTGTTTTAAGTACCATCAATTTGTATAGATTATTTGTACATTGAAATGATTCTGAATGAAGCCTCAAAAATTGCAAGGTTTGCGATCTCGTAAATATATGATGAAAAGCGGATTTGAATTATCGATCACTAGGCCTATGCTACGTGTTCCAGGTTTCTGAGGTTCTGAGATCAAATTTAAATAAAAAGTTTCAATGTAATTGTACATGAAGATTCATATTCTGAATTTTTTTTTTATTGATATAAAAATGATTCTAAAAGTGGCATTACGTCAACTCGAAGGTTCATAAATCGATAAACTTTTATCGATAAAAAAGGATTCAAAATATGACTTCTCCTGGATATTCTATAGAGAGAAAGAAATTTTTTAAATATTATATATTTTTAAATGTAATAAAATATTATATATTTTAATATTTTAAATATTATATATTTTTAAATGATTTTATTAACGTCTTTTATTTACCAATTATATCGTTGCATTTTCGTAAGAAAAAATTGTAATGGGTTAACTTTCGATTTTCCTACTTCGTCTTTAGCATTTTGACATATCCATTTTAGCATATTGAAAACGAAATATATCCCTCGGGTTAATTTTCCCATGAGAAAACTCTAGGGAACATCGTTATTGACGTATCTCTTCTGATGTTTCCGCTGATTTCTTCGTTTGTCGCAACTTTCCAACTTTCTATATCATCTGCTAGAATCTTCCTATCCAGGCTTCAGCTTAAAATAAAAATAATATCTTAGTCCATGTTAAGTTAATTGGAGAATATGGCTTATCGCTCAGCACTTCTGGAGTTACCTTGCGATAAGCGTGTTATTTTCCATCGCTAATCGAACAAGAATGACTGGATATTTTCGTCGAGGAAGAACCGACAGTTTTTTTTTTATCTATGTATGGTGTATAATTACCATTTAATTACGACTATAAATTAGTTGAAATTTTCCATTGAATGCAAGAGAGCGATATTACTTTATATGTATGTTACATTGTCACGGTATTACAGTCACTGTAAGTGTATCATGATGGCGCGTGGGGAGATAATAATTCGCATTTCTTCTCGTGGATTTCACGATTTCGTTTTAGATCGATGTAGAAAACCCGTGTGATATAAACAGACCACAAAGATTTCGCTGACATCACGTAACATTCGTAGTTGGTGTACAAATTGCGCGGATCGTTGCACATTTCGCGGTTTATGCAGCATAAGAATGTTATAAAATTAGTATTAAAATTGATGCCGCCATCTAATAATTGCAGCTTTTAGATCGACCGTCACGCGACAAACGTAGAATTAAGACTACTTGATAAGAACGAAAGAAATGAGTAATAGAAATGACTTTTGATAACAATATTAATCAGTACATTTAATTTAACTTTTTTTTTTCGATAATATAAATGAAACATTTTTGATTAGTTTTCACATGGTGAATATGAAAATGATAGTAAAAAGTTTGTGAGCCTTATTTTTTTATATTAAAAAATTTAAAAGCAGTTTTGTACTTAAAAGAAAAACAATTAAATCTCATAACAAACAAAAAATATTAAAATGCCGCCTTTTTATATGAAAGCAATCATTAAAGGAAGGATTTAATGATTGCTTTTTACAAACTAAAAATCAATTTCTAAAAAATTTGATAAATTGAAACTATTTTATTTTCATATGTGTAACTAATACATCCAAATTAATAAAAAATGAATATTTTTATCGGCATTAGTGACATCTTGTTAATTAATATATATATTGCAATGTAATTGTTTACTAATATCTCGTGTAAAGTAATTAAAAGTGGGATAAATAGACAGTTTCGCGAAATCCTCGTTTTTATTGCTTGCTAAACCACTCTTTACGAATTGTGAGAGTCGTTTTTACAGCGACATCGTTCCCAAATTGTTTCGTCTTTGTCGCGTTCTTCTGAAAATGATTACACCTGTACGTTTGTTCAAGCGAATCGAGTCGATACAGGTGCATCACGTGGATGCCGACTCTATGTATTACGACTCTGTGTCGTAATCGTACAATGCGACAATGAGGTAAAAACGCGTCACGTAAGTGTGGCGTTCGGTCTTATCAAACACTTGACTATCAAACTAATTTTTGCATCACACGTTGACTTTGGTCGCCAGGTAAAAGACGCTGGAAAATTTTATAATTTGTTACTTGTCGCAAATAACAAAATATAATACTCTATGGCCAGTATTCATAGTCAGTTCTTATATTTAGGATCTTAAGATAACATTCCAACCCATTCCAACAATAGGATAACTGTATGAGCTTATTTAAGACGATCTTAAATATAAGAACTGACTATGAATACTGGCCTAAGATATGTGTAACGAGTCATACGTCAAGTACAAATATAGATCAGAAAATTTGTTCTCCAGATAACTTTGAATGAGTTTTGATAAAATCCTGAGTTTATTTTCTATAATTAACTAACGATATCGTTGACTGTAATTACTCAATCTGAAACTTATAAATAAAGAATCACGCGAAAAATATATAATTTTTAATTAAATTTCGATAGAAACAGGAATTCTATTGTTCGTTTTATTGTTACGGCTTTTAACAAAATATTCGTCAAATTTGTTCATCAAAAATATTATTATTGAATTTTTTCTATTTAAGAATTTAATTATATTTCTAAAAATATGGATTTTCTAAAATTATCTATGTCATTAGATATAATTAGGAATAATGGTTTTTTTTTTATACGATCAATCCGATAACGAATAGCGTCCTTAACCTCTTGAACGTCACTGACACAAAAGCCAATTATAGTATTAATGACGCATTTAGACACAAAAGGAAAAAAATTGTATTAGTGCGATTTAAAAGACTTTTAAATTTAATTTAAAAAAGATTTTGAAATAAACACATTTACTTCGTATTTTTATAGATATACCTCAAATCTACCAAAGTAATTATAAGTAATAAATAATAGAATAAATAAATTGACTATAATAAATTGTATTTTATTTTTTATTAAGTTATTTATAATTACACATTTCCGAATGTAAAGTGGAGATTTGATACTAAATTATTCTTTAAATACATTTTAAGAATTCATTTAAAAATTAACACTTGATATATAAATAGTTTAATATTGCTAAGAATTTAAATGTCAGCAGCAATATCTTGTTCATTTTATTTGATCTGTCTTTTGCAATTTCAAGATTTCCAACGATCTTGGAAATTTCTTTTTGCATATAATTCAATAAAAGTTGATTTTATGAATACAATATTTCTTTTCATTGAAAACATCTTTGGCACAAAAACATTTATTTCTTCTGACGCTCGAGAGATTGACACACTCTGCTTGTTATCGTAAAATGCGCTGCGATGTGCTTATAATAAATGAAAAACAGTTCATTATAACCAGCTTATAATTTGTTTCTCCCGTTACTTGCGATTTCTCCGGCAGGTCTGAGATATACTTGCGAAAATACGGAGAAAATACTTCGATGTCAATCTACAGTGGCAATTTACGCGATGTTCGTTACGTGTGAAAATGTGATTATTTGCCGCACGAGGGGAAAATCGATTTCAGTTATTCGTGATTTATAGCTTTTAGAGGCACGTGCTGCGTCATGATTCAAACTACGGAAACCCGTTACCACTTAGAAGATCAAATATTGCGCACTTTGTCCCAGTATAATCTTTTTATCATATTAAATAAAGTTATAAGTTAAACGAAACATTCTGGATGTACCACATTAGTTCTCAAGAGCTATTACGCGAACATGG